CCCGAGACGCCTATTGAGCTCTAAGACCCCCATAATTATTCTGAAGACATTAAGGCAACATTGCCCGGGGAAGAGGCGAAGTGAGAGAGGAACTGAAGAAGTAAAGGGGGTAAAGGAAACCTAATTCCTCCCTCTATTATGGCCTTGGTATAAAAGGACATAGCGTCCTCGGCCCCGAGGGTAGGAGAGTGCACCAGCGGGTCAAAATCCTCTATATCTACGCACGGGAGAATGTCGTACTTGACCTTAAACCTATTGATCTGCTCACCACCCTTTACTTTATACTTCCCCGACCCCGAAGAACCAGCCTAAGGATGCTCGGGAGCAGGGCGACGACGAGGCATCTCTAAGAAAGTGAGAAAGTAGAGGGTGTTTGTTCTTAAAAATCCCTGAGGAAGTTTCCCGAGGGTTAGTCGCTATGTATCAACCGGAGACACCTCTAGTCATCAGAAAACAAAAAGGGATAAGAGGAAGAAAAGAAGGAGATACTGGAACTCACCCGAATGTCAAACGGAGTTTTTTTCTGGAAAACCTTAAAGCGACTCCTTCCAAAAAGTTCAGAAGCAACGATGGGTCTGCTGGCCTTAAGACTTTAAAGAAGAATGGGCAGTCGACGATGGAAGAAGAAAGAGATCTCCGGCGAAGATTCAAGAAAAGGCTCTCTTGAGGAAGTTCGGAATGGCGAAACAAGAAAACAGAAGAGGAGCCCCATTTATATAGAGACAATTTCATCATTGGGCGCGAAAAACGAAATGGTGCATTTAATGTGCACGACATCCCAAGCCCGGGAAAGCGGCTCGAGGCAATGATGAAGCATTGGTGGTTGTTGAAAAACCCTTCGTCTCCTTACGACGCGTGCCCTCGGTGTCAGAAGATCGAAGGCTGGGGGGCAGTTGATGGGACTTTTCTGAAATGCTCCATGATGAAGACACGTGTCCTCGGTATTACTAAAACATTGTTGCTGAGATCAAGTACCATCGGCGCACAAAGGTCCTCGCCCTCGAGGTACTCCTCATATAGGATCATGGTTTTCAGTACGTTTTACAACCAACACGTAGCCTCGGTCTGGTATGGTACCTCAGTCGGTGTTCCTCCCTCGGTTCCGAGATGAGTCTTTCCTCGGTGCCAAGGTGTACCCGTCCTAGACGCCTCTTCTACTCCAGGATAAGCTATTGACGTACAGGTCATTAGCCTAGGCTATTCATCATGACCTCGTCTTACACAATTAGTGTCAGAACGTACTGGAATGCAGGGGCCACAGCCAATGAGGGATGGACGCGTGGCATATGATATCACATCGAAGACAGAGAAATCGCATGCCGTTGCTGACACGCGACTTGAGAAAGTAAACTATTAATTACATCATTCCTTTGATGACACCGCATTTAATGCGGTAAGGCTCGGAAATGAAAGGCAATAAATGCTCCTAATACAGTGCATTTATTGCATCCTCCCCGAGAGGAGTACATTGTACCGTCGGCATCCCGATGACATATCATTGATTGCTCGGGACCCCGAGCAGTTAAGAAGAGAAGACATTCCTCATCAGAATCAGTGCGCACACTGTCTGTACCTAATGATCATCTACTGACTACACTGACAGCAATCATGAGTTTTTGAGGTATAAATACTCATTGCAAAAGGCAAGACGGGTATGCAACAAAAACTCTTTATTACATACTCACTCAGTGTTTTCTCCTTCCTCTCTCTTTCTAAAAGATTGACTAGATCGTCGGAGGGGATACGCCGGAAAACACTCCGGCGCCCTTCTAACTTGTTCTTCTTTGTTCCAAGAACTTCTTTCAGCCTTACTGGATCATCCTTCGGCTCACTCGAGTTCACCAAGGGAGAGATCTGTTCTCGTTTTTTATATTGTGCAGGATCTTGCACGCACACAAACACATATAATATTCGTAATAAGTGAATTGTATTGGGTTAACACTTAGAAGTGCATGTCAAATAATAAATGATATTTATGTTGAAAAATGCTATACAATTCAAAATTATAACCTAAATACATATTATTTCGTCGGATGAGTGTTAAATTAGTGGATGTGACTAAAAAAATTGATGTGACTCACTCATTTAAGAAATAATATATATTTTAATTACAACTTTATTTTTGGGTTTTATTTAAATTCTATAGCATTACTCATTTATGTTTATCACTAATACTATAACTAAATGATCTCTAGTTTGGGGTGTGGGATCGGGGGTAAGAGCTCCAATGAGTTTTAAGAAATTTGAAGTAATTATAAAGGTATTGTAGATAAGCTTTATCAACAAATTGGATTTAACTTGAATTTTGATAGATATGAATCTGAATTCAATCTCAAAAGTTTGATATGATGATCCAATGAATTTTATTTTTGTGATCTATATTCAAATCCGTTAACAATCTAAAATTCGGTCCAAAAATTTAAATAACTTAATTAACTAAATCTTAACAACTATGCCTACATTTCAATTTAATTTCTTTAAAAAATTACTTAATTTTTTTAACATTTATATAAAAATATATAAATAATGTAAATGAAGAATTGAATATAATATAAATATATTTAAATTTAAAAAAATATAATATATAATATTAAATTCAAATTCGAATTGTGATAAAAAAATATTAATTCATATACATCTCCATCGACAGGCATACTGTAGATAACTACTCACAGATAAACTCCAAACCCAAAAATTGTCTATTTCTGAAGACAGAACATCCTACAAGTTTAATCGAATCCGCTCTCTCTCTCTCGCTCACATCCTCTTGGTCTCTCCTATCATCAACTCTCCCCACCTTACCCAAAAAAAAACTCTTCCCACCTTTTCTTGAGCACCAAGTGTTACTACGTCTACCGAAAACCAGATAGTTACAAGCGACTTCATCAACGGATATACATAAAACTCTCTCTCTCTCTCTCTCTCTCTCTCTCTCTCTCTCTTCTCTCTTCTCTCTGTGTGTGTGTATGTTGGAAGTGAATGAAACGAAGATGGTTAGAAGTTGTTGAAGAAGACGAAGAAGAAAGTAGAAGAGGACTTTTCTTCGTGTGTTAAGGCTTGTTGTCTTTTTCAACTAATTGTAGCAGATTTTTTTTAAAGAAAAAGCACTCTTTAAGGCTTTTCTTCCTTATCTTTCTCGAGAAGTTGTTTCTATTCAAAGTTTATTAATCAATGAAGTTGACTGATTGAGTTGTGTTTGTTTTTTTGTTTTTCTTTTTCTTTCTGAATGTTCAATGGATCAGGTGGTGGAAAGTGATTACCCCATTTGATGCACTATACACGCAACTGCTCCAATTCTCTTCCTCCACTCATTTTTCTTTCTATTTCTCACTCGGAAGAGAAAATCATAGAAAGTGACGGAAAATCCCAAGTTGGTGAGCATCGGTTTTCTGGTTCTTGTCAATATGTAATTCGATTTGATTTTGTCTTCTTTTTAGACTTTAGATTTTTACTTTTCTTCTGCTTCATTGGGTCCCGGGTAGTTTCAGATTTTTGTCCAACTGAACAACTGCCTCTCTTTCTCTCTCTCTCTCTCTAAACTTTTCAGGAGGATATGGATTCTCGGAACCTGATAGAAAAAGAGGGTACCCAGAAAATCTCTATTTCTGATCAAATAAACAGCTTACAGTACACAAGCACGAAATCTGATAGCTTTGTAGTGGATATGGAACGTTTCTCTCACCTCACCAATAAAGCCATCGCACCAAACTCAAGAATCACTGTAAGTTTATTTTTCTTCTTCCATTTTTTTTTTTATTTTCTTTTTGGGAAATTCGTTCTGCTTTCTTTAGTTGAGGAGCATATGCTCTGTTTTCCATTGAATTGCTAAATAGTATTGATGTTCTAGTCAAGAAAATAGTTGTTTACTCATTGAAAACATATTCTAAAAGATGAGTTGAGGAGCCTATACTGAATTTTCAGTTGGTGTTTCTGAATACGACGACATGAAGTTCTCGTCAGTATTCACTAAACCAACATTTACTTTGAAGTCAGTGATTTCGATGGATTTTCTGAGTATATTATATACATGTGTATCGTTTGTTGAGATAGCACTTTACTACCATTCTTTTAACTTTGCGTCAATAACAATCGAAAATCATTTTAAGGCATTGTGATCTCCTATTGGTAATAATGATCATTATCTGAATTAAACAAGTTTCTCAGAATCTATTTTGAATCTATAAGAATAATATTTTGCTTTTTTTTTTATGCCTAATGTGTTTGTATGTGGATAAAAAGTTGCAGAGAAGCCTTTCAAGAAAAATTTCACAGCAAGGCGATGAGAGGAAGATTAATTCAGGTGCTGGCAATGAAAAAGACACCAGTGTTGTTGCTAGCTCTTCAACAAAAGGTAAACTCTTACTTGACACGAAGTAATCTATAATATCCATGGCTTGAGGATGGTCATTTAAAGACAGAGGAATTAACAATAGCAATAGACTTTTTGTCATTGTGTTTACAAGCAGTGGCGTCCAAAACAGAGAGAATCTGATTCTTGATTGCATTAAAATGTTTTGTCTATTTTTTATGAGTTTAATCAGTTTATGGTATGTACTTATCTGTGTATCTTTCATTTGCTATATGTTTATCGGTTACATAACACAACCCTCTTATTTTGACCGCGTCTTGAAACTAATTGTGTTAAAAGATAGGTTTTTAAAACAATGCGTTCCGAGTTTTTGTCATGTTTCTATATGTAACTATTCAAAAACCAAACATTAGCACCAACCTACCTTGGTTAATACCTATACACCCTTGAAAGACTTTAGATACATAATTATCACCAGATAACTACTTGAGATGCTAAATATCACCACGTTAGGTTGTTGGCACTGTTGGGATGTGAGCTTGATGTTGATGTTAGGTCAATAATAGCAATTAATTATAACTAACTTTTATTGATCATGCCGAAATAAGTGCCACGCACGAGCGAAAATGATACAATAGTTTTCAGTAACAGCCTGTACCAGGCCCACTGGGTGGGGATGACCCTACTTTTTGTTACATCTATTGGATGCATAGTGAGTAGTGAGTTGATTAATAGTTTCTTCTGTGGTTTCCTATGAAAGTGATATCCATTTAGGAAATAGCTGAAGGCATAATTTAATTTCTTAAGTTTTGTCTGTTTAAGTGCAGATTAGATGCACCCTTTGTTAATCGACCCCATCCATCAATTTAACGAAACAAAACAACAAAATAATTTGCTGCCTTTTTCTGGTGATCTGTTTAGATGTGCTGATATTTTCACTTTTGGTACTTTACCAGTTAAATATTTGATCAACTATATTAGGTAGTAAGACTTGTCAAACATTGATGAATAAGCACAGCTATTTTTGGTTGGAGATGGCAGAGGCTTCTTTACCTCTCTCATACCTTGTTGTAGACAAGAGCGTTATACATTGGGCACGGTCTTTTACCTTTTTATGGAAGTTGGTTGAAGGAAATTTAGAAATGAGAACCAGAAGTATTTCTTATTGCACTTAGTGTGCAAATTTAGGGCTCTAAATGACTCGAGATCTGGGATTATCCACAGTGGTAAACTGGTAATGATGCAACCACACTGCAGGCAAGATCTAGGATCATATCTCATCGCAGCATAGTGACACCCGTTTCCCTCGTCCCCTTGGGTATAGTAAAGTAGATAAACAATTTGTTAAGGGAAAAAAAATGGACCTAGGCTAGTAGAAAACACAAACTTATGGAACTTAGTTGTTTGAGACACAAGTACAGACTATAGACTGTCATTCCTTTTGTTTCTACAATAGTTGGGTGCATATGCATTTGGACTATGGAAAACATTATTGATGGGAGCTAACACATGCTATATGGTATTATTAAAACTGCAGCTGCTTTAGTTGCGGTTGGGATGCCTGAAAAACCCATGGTTGTGACAGTGGGGGCCACCGATCATCCCATCAACCCCCAAGTCCATCATCAAATCACCATCATGACTGGCAACATAAGCACCCCTACTGCCAAAAGCAAAAGTGGTGGCCGGAGATTCAGCTTCAGGCGCTCCTCTCCCTCTTGGGCCATTGACCCCAGGAGGATCCTTTTGTACTTTGCCACCTTGTAAGTTTACTACTGTTTGGTTTCCAGCTTGGCATTCTAATATACTTAGACGTGATGATATTGCTGATATATTAGAGTTGGATGTAAAAAAACACAAATTTACTCGAGCTGGATTAAAAAAAAAATACAGAGCCGCACCAAATCCATCGCGAAACAAACCAAATACGAAGACAGGAGGCTGCCCTAGCATTATTATAGTGTGTTGGGGCTACAAACAATTGTCATGAAGTTGGATTCGCGTCAGCTTGGGCTGGATGTCCAGTACTATCAGGCTCCATACAAACTTACAATAAAATTAAGTTGTCCCAACAAAAGCACCTTAGAGTTGTCATAGTTATCATAAAATATCGCTTCTGTGATCTTACACTATTTGATATGTGAGCCCGAGGGATAATGGTTCAACACCTCCCATAGATATGTTATGGCATATCTAACATTTGGAACAATTATAAACAGTAAAGATGTCTAATTAGTGCTTCTGATTTCCTTCTCATTTGTTACAGTTCAAGCATGGGAACCATATTACTAATCTACTTCACTCTCTCCATGGGCAAGCTGAGTGGGGATGACAATGCTCTCAATTGGTAACACCACCACATAGCTGTGGTGGTACAAGCTAGGTAAGTTGGTCCATTACTGGCTGGTTCTGGACTGAATAGGCATAACAGAGTAATCAATTCCCCGTTCTTGATAGATTTCCTCTCTCTCTCTCTCTCTCTCTCTCTCTCTCTCTCTCAAACTATCTATCAATTGATTTGAAAATAGTGGGGAGAGAGAGAAACATGATATGAAGGAATTTAGCTTGATAATGGTGAAAGTTCTTCATTTCGAGCTAATAATGACTTCTTCCAGTAAAGCCCATGAGACAGGATTGCTGCAGAAAAGAAGGAAAAAGAGCTTGAAACTTGAAGACCACAGAAAAAGCCAACAGAAGCTCCATTAGCAAGGGCTTCAAATTCAGCAGTTCTACTTTTTCTTCGGGGCCGCCTTATCTTACACAGCCTTGTAGATGAAGATAAGGCAATAAAGCCTTAGAAAAAATAGGGGAATCTTCACTTTTATCTCAATGAAAGAGATCAAAACACATTCTATGTATAGCTTTTGAATTAGTTTTGTGTAAAAGCTTAATTGAGGACCAGAAAAGTTACCTTTGCTCTATTCCATCTCCCCTTTCCTTCCCCAACATCTTCAAACCTCTTTTGCTATTTTGTGGAGTCTGATATCAGCTTCTTTTCCTTTTCTTGTATGTTGCTTTCATATGAGTAGGAACAGAGCGCCACAAATAGTCCTAGAAAGTATACAAGCATGTTCATGCATGAAGCTTTTCCTGCTCATGAAATATTCCTTGGTTTTAAAGTGGAAGTCCATTTTGACTTGGTTAAAGAATGGATCCCCAAAATAGATTAGTTCGATCAGCAACACTTGCTTCCACAGCACCAAGATCAATACCTAATTTAATTTTACCTATAACCTGCGTCTCTGCCGCATTGGAATCAAGAGCGGGCTTGACATAGTTGTTGTACGAGTTTTTCAGGTCTATTTAACTAACTAAAGCTAGCCGGGATCAACAACTTTCTTTGTCATGTGAAAAACCTTATGGGCTACCATGGAGAACAGTATATCTCAACCCATACAGGACGACTCAGTGGCCAAACAAAAAGTGAGATCCGAACATACTAGTCTAGAGTTGGGGTCTTATAGGATGCATAATACCCGGATTTGACCAATGGCATTGTTTGGTACTGATGCATGCACTTGAGATTTGCGTTTTAATCACGACTCCAATGGACGGGTGGTTTACACAATTGGATGTGACCAAAAAAAGTTGATATCCCTAAAATCAGGGTGGTGAAAGTTTCCTCACCTCAACCACACAGCTCAAAATATCTCAGGTTGCATCCTAAGCGAAGTTCGGGTCCATGTAAAATGAATATTTCACTGGATCCAATAAATTCTTAGAGGTGGTTCAGTGGTTGAGTTTGACATATAATAATTTAGAGATCTCAGATTTAATATTTCTTATATCCCCCAAGGACTCGTCACCCTTGTTCTTCTGAGACATGTCCTAAACCCGCTTAGGCTACGGTGGTCAGTGTTTGAATGAGTAGTTGGTACAAACCTAAACACTCTGTAACCGAAAAAACCTAAACCCAATAGCTATACACACTATCATCTCCAGAGATATTTGCTAAGCTTTATGTTCTGCATTCACAATTAATCCTCCATTTCCCAAAGCCTCACCTAAGGATTCTCAAACACAACAGAGAAGAAATACCTAGGCAATTCCAAAGAATCTACTAATGCATATGAGAACTTGGTCGATCTTGGTAATTATACTACTACACATTTTTGCTTTGAAATTGGTGAGGATTAGATCTTGTTGCACAGTTGAAATTGGTTCAACCTATAGAGAGTGGAATATAGCTCAGTTCATTTGTGTCCGATTTGTATACTATGTATAAGTTGTATTTAACATATTCGAATTAAGTCTAGTTAGGTCTGCATCAATCTATTTATTTAATGTTTGTAATGAGTTAACTCATTTATCACCTAAATATGTTAAGACTAATCTAAACTTACTAATTCTATATCGATTTTGTTTAGAATTAACAATTTTTGACAAAAAAATGATAGGCCTAAAAAATTGCCCAGAGATTCTTCTAAGAATCTTTGCTAATTCGTTATTTCTCTCATTATTTTATTTGAACGAGTGCTCTTATTTTTGAGATCGAATTCAGATTAAAATTCAAATCATTAAGATTCATAAGATAAATGGAAAAGAAAGAGAAATGTTGGACTAACCAATAAATCAATGGATCAATGTGGTGGAATTATTGGATTAAAAAGGCCATTTTATGGCCCATAAGGCCATACTGCCAGTTGGCCCATTGGGAGACTGTGCGCCAAAGTTTCTCCGAGGCTCAAGGAGGTCAGTACCTCCCTAAGAACTTAATAGGATAAAAATACATTTTTTAAAATAATTGGAATAGAAGTACATCTGCTACAAAAAAGTCATAAAAGTCATTTTACCTCTACCATAAATAATGCATACTTAATTGACAGTTTTTATATTTTCAAAATCTAAATAATAGAATGCGAGACTTTCAATATTTTCTTTGGATATTTGTGTATCATTTGAATTTTGAAATTATATATATATATATATATATATATATATATATATATATATATATATATATATATATAATATTTTAAAAAGAATTTTAAAATATTTTAAAATATGTACTTATAAACAACTATTTAATGAAAAAGAGAATTTAAAGGAGGATAAGTTTAAAAGTTATATTTAAAGTCAAACAAGTTCTGAAAAAGATACTCACGTCTCGTTATCTCAAGTTTCTCCTGGCGAGCTAGTTCGAGCTTAGTCCATTGATTGATCAAAGCATGAATACACAAGCTTAGGGCCTAACATCTAGGAAGGCTTGGCTAGTTGACCGCGTCAGGCTTGGAGCTTGAAAATTAGGGTTGTCCCATCAAGGCCTTGCCTGTTACCCACACCCCCTCCCCCCCCCCCCAACAAGTATTATAAAATTTCATTTTAAAATGATAAAAACAGTCAAAACGTAATGAAATTAAAATTATAATATTTTGTGATATTTAATAATATTTTGAGATATTTTATAATATTTTTATTTACTTTTAAAATTATTTCAAAATATTTTAAAGTGTGTCAAGATATTTTAATAGTAGTTATTGCTTGTGCCTAAAGGCACAGAGTAATAAAAAATGATAAATAATAAATATATTTGTATTCATATCCAAAATTAAATCACAAACATAAATAAGAGATAAAAGAATTTAAACATCAGTTTGTAGTGGGGGTGAGAGGTGGTGGGCGACAATGGTGGTGGTAGGAGACGGTGATGGGTGTGGTAAGTGGCAATGACAGTGGTGGTGGTGGTGGCGGCAAGGGCGATGACAATGATGGTGGTGGCGACATTAACGGTGACGGTGATTGTGGCGATGGTGGCGGGGGGGTGACAGTGGGTGGTGGTGGGGGTGGGGGTGGTGGCGACGATGGTGTGGGTGGGGGTGGTTGTGATGGTGGCGGTGGTTGTGGTGGCGGCGGCGATGTGGGTAGTAGTGGTGGCGGCGCGACGATGGGGTGGCAGTGGTGGTTGTGGTAGTGGTGGCGACGGCCGCGGCGGTGGTGGTAACGGTGGTAGTGGCAGTGGTGGTGGTAGTGGCCGTGGTGGTGGTGATAACGGTGGTGGTGGCGATGGTGGTGATGGTGGTAAAGATAGTGGTGGGGCGGCAGTGGTGGTGGTTGTGGTGGTGGCGACGGTGGTGGGGTTGGCAACAGCTGTGGCAATGGTAGTGGTGGTGGGTGGTTGTAAGGGTGGCGGTGGTAATGACAGTGGTGGTGCAAGTGGCGGTGACTGCGACGGTGGCGGTGGTGGTGGCGGCAACTGCAGCGGTGACGATGGTAGTGGTGGAGGGGTGGCGGTGGTTTCAAGCACTATTTTTTTAAAGTATTTATGAAAAATAATTTCTAGAAACAGTTTTAAAAATGCAACTCTAAAAACACCCTTAGGGGCCTATTTTTCCTATTAAATTTAGGGTGTTAATATTAGCCGTTAGATTAACTTTAAAGTAAAATTTAAAGCGATCTTAACTGCGAAAAGCAAAAGTCATTTTGTTTATCTTTTGAAATTTGAATTGTAAGATACGTTAGTATATAGACTAGTTATTGTATGTGTCTAAAGACATAGAGTAATAAAAAATGGTAAACAATAAACATATTTGTATTTATATTCAAAATCATATCATAAATATAGAGAAGAGATAAAAAAAATTTAAGCATCGATTTTTAGTAGGTGTGAGAGGTGGTGGGTGGCAATGACCGTGGTGGTGGTGGTGGTGGTGGTAGCAGTGGGGGCGATAGTGGTGGGGGTGGTGGTGGTGGCGACGACGATTGCAACGAAGGCAGTGAGGGTGGCGGCGGTGGTGGTGGCAGTGGGGGTGATGGCGGCAATAGAGGTGGGGGTGGTGGTGGTAGCGACAACGGTGCTAGTGCTGGTGGCGGTGGCGGTGGTGGCTATGAAGGCGACGACGATGGTGGTAATGATGGTAGTGGGGGCGACAGTGGCAACGGTGATGGTGGTGGTGGTGGTGGCGACGTCGGTGGTAGAGGTAATGGTGAGGCGGTTTTAAACACTATTTTTTTTTAAAGTATTTATGAAAAATAATTTTTAGAAGTACTTTTAAAAAGCACTTTCAAATACACATTTGAGAGCTTATTTTTTCTATTAAATTTAGGGTATTAATATTAGCCGTTAAATTAACTTTAGAGTAAAATTTAAAGCGATCTCAACCGCGAATAGCAAAAATTATTTTGTTTATCTTCTTTTAAAATTTGAATTGTAAACTACATTATTATATAGACTAATTTGTTTATGCTTGAAGGCACAAAGTAATAAAAAATGGAAAATAATAAACATATTTGTATTCATATCTAAAATCAAATCACAAACATAGATGATAGATAAATGAAGTTAAACATCGCTTGTAGTGAGAATGAGAGGTGGTGGGCGACAGTGATGAAGGTAGGAGATAGTGATGGTTGTGGTGGGTGACAATGACTGTGATAGCGGGGGCGACGATGGTGGCGACAACGATGGTGGTGGTGGTAGCAGCGGCGACGACGATGACGATGGTGGTGGCGATGGTGATGGCGACAGCGGTGGGGGCGACGTTGGCGGTGGCGATGACGGTGGTGGTGGTGGCGACGATGGCAGTGGTGGTAGTGATGACAATGATGGCGGTGGTGGTGGCAGCAGTGGTGGTGGTGGTGATGGGAGTGAGGGGTGGGGTAGAAGTAGTGGTGAAATGGTTTTAAAAATTATTTCTTTTTTAAAGTATTTATGAGAAATAATTTCTAGAAATACTTTTAAAGAGTCACTTCAAACACATTCTTACGTGCTTATTTTTTCTATTAAATTTAGGGTGTTAATATTAGCTGTTAGATTAATTTTAAAGTAAAATTTAGAGCAATTTCAACCTCGAATATTAAAAGTCATTTTGTTTATCTTTTGAGATTTAAATTATAAACTACTTTATTATATAGATAGTTATTGTCTGTGCCTGAAGACACAGAGTAATAAAAAATGGTAAACAAAAAATATATTATATTCATATCCAAAATCAAATCACACACATAAAGGAGAAATAAATGAATTTAAGCATCGGTTGTAGTGGGAGTGCGAGGTGGTGGGCGGCAGTGGTGGTGGTAGGAGACGGTAATAGTTGTGGTGGGTGGCAATGACCGTG